TGTCATTCCAGCCAGAATGGCTGGCCAGGAAGAACACAGGATCTTCCTGTCTCTACTCCTACAGTGATGGGGTTACAGGTGCTCACCCCTGCTCCCAGCTTTTACATGGATGCTGAGGATTCAAACTCAGGGCCTCTTACTTGTATAGCAAAAAATCTCCCTAGCTCCAGAGAAGTTTTAAAGGAATAAGTAACATAAAGAGCTAACCCTGAGGCAGGCTGTGGTAATTATATTCTGGGTGGCCTGTCACGTGATTGCCTATGACATCATAAACCAGCACCATCACATCGATGCTCTGGGCTCTGGTTCATGTTCCTCTCAAATGCAAATTCTCCTAATTAGTTTCTGTGAGTGGCCTGCGGATGGCTCACATGATCTTGGGTGCCCCAAGACATTATTTTTCTTCTCTCCAATTACACCTGCTCCCAAAGCTGCTCGTCCAAAGCTGTGGAGACCATAGGAGTATTTGCATCTTCCATATCCCCTCCTGATAGCCACGCATCCTTCGCATGAACCACAGCTGTGCCATTTTTCACCCAGCTGTTGAAAGTGAATCCCCAAGTCACACTAGGTTTCATTCAGTCTGAGGCTGTACCACACAGTCCCACTGAAATGACTTTTTAATGTTCTGCCTCTTTGTTTCAGGCCCTGGCACGGATCCTTGGAGACTGGGCTGGAAGAAAATCTCAACGACAGACGCCACACTGCATTCAAAACAACCCCTGGCTTTTGAGTATGGTTGACCTTGTTACTCTGTTCTCTTCCTGTGGGTGCTTTCTGGAAAGTGCCTGAGTCCTTCCTGTAAACCAACTAATGTTCCCAAGACAAGCACAGACATGTCTCAAGTCAGCTGGGGACTCTCACTCCTCTCGCTGAGGTCTCTTATCCTCCCTTGATCCTACCACAGAAGCCAAGAGCAATTCTTCAAGCTTGGTATTATTTGACCAAATATTACTAAGATGTTATGTGATAAAATACCGAAGAAACAGGCCAGATAACCTGCATGGAGCAATAGATAGAAGAACCAATCCTCCAACATTATCGTGCTTCCTCCAGAGGAGCCCTGAGCCAGGGGTTCCCTGAGTTACAGTCTCATCTCCTCACTCTCCTCCAGCCTTTTGCCTCAGTTGCGCCCTTAGCTATACGTTGTGCGAAGGTCCTCAATCCGTGCATCCAAAGAACAGAGGGACTCATGGTAGAGTTGGAAAGGACATTTGTGGAAACTTCAGATTATGTCCAGGTCTTACAAACCCTGAAGTTTGGTCCCTATTTGGGGACCACTCAACAGGCTGGGAATAATTTATCTTTGCAGATGTCACAAACTATGTGATTAGACAGACATGTGTCTAAGGGCCCTGAAGACTTCAGAAGGGGCCATGCAAAGAGAAGTCTCTGCAGTCCTGCAGCATAGCCTACGTCCCTTACAGCCACATGACTCATGCATTTTGCTGGGACCACAATAAGGAGGGATTAGCCCATCAGCTGACGGCTTCAAAGCTGAAGGCTTGACTTTGATGGCGCAAAGAGAAGCTGTCCACAGTCCCATCCAATGATCATGTCCTTTAAACTATCTTGGCCCGGCCTTCTTCCTTGCTTTTAGTCTGGTTTTGTTGTTGTTGCTGCTGCTGCTGCTGCTGCTGCTGCTGCTATTTGCTAGTTTTAAGTTTAGTTTCTTTGCAGTTGCACAGGCTGACTAAGAACCTTTTTTATCTTGTTGCTTTGAGCATCCTTGAAGGCCCCTCCACCCCAGAGGGGAGGGGTTGAGTATTGTTTTGTTCCTAGACTCTACAAATAATAGAAGAAATGATATTGTTTGCATTGGGTGCACCTGCTTCCCTGAACCAGGGGGAGGTGTTTTGTTTTTCCTTCTCAACCCCCACTCTCCTTTTATCTTGGCTGCACATACTTTGTTGTTTGGTGGGAATTTTAGTGGCTCCTGATTTCTTAGGGAACTTCCTATCCCAGGGAACTCAGAGATTCTCCCCAGAGGCCCCCAGAGACTATTGTTTTATTGTCCCCACCCTCCGTCCGCATGCACCGTATAAACAGGCACCCGAACATACAAGCTGTTCTTAAAGCAGCAGCAGAAGTGTGATCCTGCAGCAAGGTTGTCTGTGTAGTGTGCAGCCGAAACTAGGCAAGCATGCCTGAATGCGTTCTCACACCCAGGAAGGCACGTCACACAAAGAGAAAGGAAACCTGTGTGTCTGCTGTACACATTCTCTTCAGTCTTTAAGGCGGGGCTTCTAGCATGCCTTCCCCTCACCAGTTTTTCACAAACCAAACACTTAGTTGATAATGTGTTTTGAAGCAATTGTCTGGTGTATGTATTTTTATTAGGGATTAAAGCAAAATTGCATACTAACAGAATGGGTGGACTTGCTTATTTATTCCTTTTATTATCATCATTTTTATTATTGTGTGTGTGTGTGATGTGTCGATGGGAGTGTGAGTGTGGGCCTGGGGTGGGTAGGTACACAAGTGTCAGAGTTTGCATGTAGAGGTCAGGTCAGAGGGTGACCTTGGGGAGCTAGCTCTCTCACTCTTACTGGACTTTGAGATCACAGTGAAGTCATCAGGCATGCGTGGCCAGCGCTTTCACCCACTGAGCACCTCGCCGGTCCTTGTTTGTCTTTACGTGAAAGAATTAAAATTCGGCTGCATATTTGATACTGCAGCAAACAGAGCATCTGCAACACTTTTGGTATGTCTATGTTATAGCCTCGCATGAACATGTCGTTCAACATGGCAGAAGTGTGCTTAGCACCATGTTAGAGTGCAGCCCTTTCTGTCTGTTGTGTTTGTTGTTTGAGACAAGGTCTCATGTATCCCAGGCAGGCTTCAAACTTGCCCTGCAGCCAAGACTGGCCTTGCACTCAGGTCCCCCTGCTCTGCCTCCTCAGTGCTGGGAGTAAAGTAGGGCATCTCACCTGGCAGACATTCTGTCATAATCTGGAGTCAAAATTCATTGAAATTTTTTATGAAACTCAACTCAGTTTTTAAGATCAAACTTTCTTTTTTCTTTCTTGAGCCAGGCTATTATGTGGCCTTGAACACACGTACAATGTACCCCAGGTTGACCCTGAACTCCTCATATTCCTTCTCTGCCTCTCAAGTGCTGGGATCATAGGTATTCACCACCATGCCCAACTAAAATTCAACATTCAAACACAATTCAATCCAAAGAGTCACTAACTTGATGCTTACCTGCTAAGGAGTGACATTGAAAGTCTTTGTTTTCTATAACCAAGCTGTTGCTTTTATAAGAGAAGAAAACTTCACGCAGGGAAGATTGTATCTGTAATGTATATGGTCTCACATCTGAGTTAACGGTGTCACTCAGCATTCATGGGCACCGTGTGGCTAGTCAGCATGTAAGTGCATCATCCTCTGTGTGTTGTGTGTTCAGAACCCAGGCTGCAGTCAACATGTGGGTGAACCCTGCCGGAAAGACCCTGGCATATGTTAAACATTTGATTTTGTATTATTTTTTTGGTGTGTTGGGTATCCAGAAACATTTCTGTCACCAGATTTTTTTATACTTTCACACATGGAGCTGAGCGCACAGTTTCATAAGCTGTAGCTTGGGTGTGGGATGGATAGTGGATAAAAGCATTTGTCCCAGAAGTATGAGGGCCTGAGCTTGATTCCCCAAGCCTAAGGTGGAAGGAGTGACTGATCATCTCCTGAAAGTTGTCCTCTGACCTCCACACCTATCCCATGGCACAAAGGCGCTTGTCTGATCCTCCTCTTCCTCTTCTTTTTCTTGATCCTCTTCCTCCTCTTCCTCTTCCTTATCATCAGCATAAAAAGACACTGTGGTTTAATTCAACACGAGTTAACTCCCTGGATGCACAACTCGAGGAAATTGGTGATCTGCCCACCTGGTGCATTTTGTGAACTTCTAAATAGATGGAATCATGCCCTGCTTCATCCCTGTGTCTTAATGGCTGGCAAAGAACTTCACACGGGACGTGTTCAGGAATTATTTGTAGAATGAGTACTGAGTAGGGAGGCTTTGGAAAGCCCCTTCACAGCTCTGGCTCTGGTTGTCTTTGTGACTATATAACACAGTTGATGTCTTGAACTCATTCTAACACATCTCTGACTCCTGCCATCCAAAATGGATGTGGCTTCACCTCATTATGTCAGGATGATATGTACAAGGCAGTGGGGAGGGGAAATGAAATAGTCTATCAACAAGAATAAGTTCCGTTCTCACGTGGAAGTCTACAGAAAAACCACCCACAGATTCAAGTGGCTATCAAGGACTCAGCTGCCATCTTTCTGTATTGCCCTCCTCAATCCAAAACTCTGTGTTGTGTTCCGGACACCATGTCCTTCTTCTAGATCAGTAGGAAGAGGAAGTATAGGAAGACAAGAAGGCAATTTAAAAAAAAAAGATGTATTTATTTATTTTATGTATATGAATGCTCTAGCTGCATGGACACCTGCATGCTGGAAGAGGGCATCAGATGCCGTTATATGCTGTGGGACATTTTGATCACACTCTGACACTCTCGAGACTGACAACAAAGTTTACCTTGAATCAGAGGACAGAGCTAGCTAGTGACTGACCAGAATTAGCCTTAGAGGTTTTGGAAGACCCAGGACATACAGAGAGAGAGGAAGTAGTTGGGAGGAGCTTAGAAAGATTTATGGGCCTTTGGGGATCGAGGAAGGGGAGAGAGAAGAGGTCACTGGTCACTTCTCCAACCAATCAGGTTTTTACCCCAATATCTGACTCCCAAGTTTTACTTAATAATAAAACAATTTAAGTAATCACTTCACTTATAGATGGTTGTGAGCCACCATGTGGCTGCTAGGAATTGAACTCAGGTCCTCTGGAAGAACAGCCAGTGCTCTTAACCACTGAGCCATCTCTCCAGCCCCGAGAAGGCAACTTTTGCAACTGAGCCCACTTAAATGCCATCCTGGAAGCTCTGCTTGGCCTCGCACTTCTGCGTCATTGACTAGAATTTGGTTGGGTAAGATATTACCTGAAATACAAGCAGCATCCTATCGCTGCTTGGAAGAGGGGAAATGGATGCTCGTGTCATCCGGTGGTCCAGTCCATCACCTTCCAGCCCGGTTTGCAGTTCCAGACAGCTGTACCACCGACTTCCTTTGTTTGGAGATCTTCAAGTTTTCTCAAGTCCTGACACTTCAACCACTCCTGAAAAAAATTGGGGGAGTGGGTAAAAAGATAAAGTACTATATTTTTCAAATGCCAACTTTATAATTAGATTGTAGTTAGCTAAAGAGCTGCCCTCCATTCTGCAATTATATCAGTGTGTGTGTGTGTGTGTGTGTGTGTGTGTGTGTGTGTGTGTGTGTGTGTGTGTAAAACAGTGTTCATGGTAGATAAACTCCATTTATTTTTATTACAATCCTTGCTTTGAGGACTGCAACTGTGGCCTCTGTTTCAGCAGGCTGGTTTGTTCTCTGTGAGCCTTTAATACTCAAAAGTTCAGGCACCTCACCTTAGTCCATTTCCTTACTTGACCCCCAACTTCCAGAATCTGAGGAAGAGGTCTTGGCAGGGGCATGTCAGTATTCCCTTTAATAATAACAACAGAGAAATGGAGGTCAGAGGATTGGCTCATTGAGGAAGAAAATAAACATCTTATGCCCTGATATCAAGGGAAGACTTATGAGTGGTGTTGTCATATATAAGAAATGGAGACATTTCCTGGAACTGCCCAAATTCGAATACTTCCTCCAAGAATGCACCAGCAAAATGGGTCTGAGTAAGTCACTCAGACTCTTATCTTATTTTTATAATCTGTAAAACAGAGCTAATAATAGAGAATTAAGAATGTAAAACATTTGAAAAGAGTTTTGTGTAGTGCCTGACACACAGGAAACAATCAATAAATGTCACTTATTTCAGGTAGTAGTAATTCAACCGTCAATAATTTTTTTAGGCAAATTTTTGACTGCTTAGGGGCCTGTTCCTTCTCCAATCCAAAGCATGACTGGCTGAGCGGTGACCCAGTCACCAGAGACTCGGATCTTTTCATCAGCAAATTCCATCATCTGTAGCTCACTGCGCTGTGATCAACACAGCGCTGGAGCCCCAGCACAGACATCGTATGCAGGAGGCAGATATGGCATGATTACTATTATCCTTTCTTCCAAAAGTCCTGCATCCCTTCTGATCACAAATCAGTGGGCAGAATGTAGCCCATGAGCAGACCTAAGAAGTGGGGCCTGTGCAGACTGAGCACAACTGTCCTGTAAGAACCAAGATTCTGCTGCCAGCAAAGGGAACCATGAGCACACTAGCAGGCATGGTGAAGACTTGGGCACAGACATATTTGTCGTAGAATCTAGGAGTCTAGGAAAAGGGAGTGACCTCAGCCAGCGATTCTGAAAGTCACCAACGTAACAGGTGATGACAAACATTAGCCATAAATCCTAGAGATCTTCTGTGCCTGCAGAAAACAACATTTCCCTGTGTGTTCAGAAATTTACAAAAAGAGCCAGGCAGTCACTACCTATGGTGGGACACCTTGCACAGCCTTGATGCAGGGGGAGGGGCTTGGACCTGCCTCAACTGAATGTACTAGGCTCAGCTGACTCCCCATGGGAGGCCTTGCCTTGTTGGAGGAGGGAATGGGGGTGGGTTGTGGGAAAGGCTGGGGGGTAGGAGGAGGGGAGGGGAGGGGATCTGTGGTTGGTATGTAAAATGAATAGAAAATTTCTTGATTAAAGAAAGAGCCAGGCAGTGGTGGCACGCCCTTTTAATCCCAAAAGAGGTGGAGGCAGAGACAGGTGGATCTCTAAGAGTTGAAGGCCAGCCTGGTCTACACAGTGAGTTCCAGGACAGCCAGGGCTGCACAGAGAAACCATGTCAAGAAAAAAGAGAGAGAGAGAGAGAGAGAGAGAGAGAGAGAGAGAGAGAGAGAGAGAGAGAGAGAAAGAAAGAAAGAAAGAAAGAAAGAAAGAAAGAAAGAAAGAAAGAAAGAAAGAAAGAAAGAAAGAAAGAAAGAAAGATGAGAAAGAGAGACAGAGAGGGGGAAGGGAGTGGGGAAGAAATTTACAGAAAGAGTGGATCTTGGGCTGGGGTACAGCTTAGCTGATAGAGTACTTGCCAAGCATAAACTAAACCCTGGGTTCTGCTGTCCCACTATCAGAACTATGTACAGCTGGACATGGTAGTGCAGGCTCATAATCCAAGCACCTGGCGGGGTAGAGCCAGGAGGATCAGAAGTTCAAGTCAGCTTGACTACACAGTAAGTTGGGGGATAGCCTGGGCTACATGAGACCCTGGCGAGGAGGAGAGATGGGGGAGAGCTAAAGAGATATATCAGTGAGGAAGAGCACTTGCTCTTCAAGCCTGAGAACCTAAGTTCAGATACAGCACCCACATAACAAGTTAGGAATGGTCCCACACACACCTTGTAAGCTCAGCAGTGTTCAAGAAGACAGGAGGATTTCTGGGACTTACTGGATGCCAGCCTGGCTGAAGAGCAGGAACTCCAAGTTAAGGGAAGATGCCTTGACTCAGAGCAATAGGCAGACGGATAAAAGATGACATCAATGCCCCCTGGCCTCCATGAGTGGATGTGTGTGAATCCACTACATACATACATCACACGTGAACTCACACACACACACACACACACACACACACACACACACACACACACACGGAAGGAGGGAAGAAAGGAGACAAAGGACATTTATTGTGTGTTTTTATCACTAAAATAAAGAAGCAGGAGAACACTTTGGAGGTAATAGCTATGTTCTTATCGCATTGACTCCGGTGGTTATTTCACAGGTGTCTATCATCTCTAATTCACCAAACTGTATGCAATAAATATAAACAGTGGTTTTATATCAGACCTACCTTACTCAAATACTTTTTTAAAAAACACAAAAATACATGAGCAGGAAAGTCTTAAAGGAATAATGTGAATCTAGAATTGGGATCATATAGTAGTTACTACACAGACCTGCAGGCCTCATACCATTGCCTGGCTCTCGTTCAGTTTGTGTGGGATCCACTCTGATCCTCTGTATTTCTACCAAGCACACAGGTACAGCAGGCCATGCCTCAGAGCTGCTCATGCCATGAGTTCTCCTGGCTGCTCCTTAGAACCTATTAGAGGATTTGTGCTTCAGCTGAAGTGTAAGGGCATTACTAACAGTGGCTGTGGGAAAGGTGGTGGGGCAGTGACCGCAGAAAACACTAGCGCCATCTTTCTGTCTTTAAGGACTTGTTTGCATTTACTTCTCTTTGCCTGTGTATGCTTCCAAAGCAAAAGTGTGCAGGTGCCCACACAAGCAGAATAAGACATCAGATCCCCTGGCACCACAGCTACAGATGGTTGTAAACCAACCAGTGAGATTGTTGGGAATCAAACCCAGGTCTTCTGAAAGAGAAGCAAGTGCCCTTAATCACTGAACCATCTCTGCTGGAGACACTTTTACCTCCTCAGAATTTACTTAGACACTGATTTTCTAGAGGAGTTTGTTTGTGTGTGTTTGTTTTTTGAGACAGGGTTTCTTTGGTCCTACAACTAGCTCTGTAGACTGAGCTGGCCTTGAACTCATAGAGATCTGCCTGCCTCTGCCTCCTGAGTGCTGGGATTAAAGATGTGTGCCACCACCGACTGGTTAGGATTTTAAAAGACTATACATACACATTATATTATTTAATTCTAAAATAATACAATTATATTAAATTGCTCAATATATAATATAAAACATGAAGAAGGCATAAGTAACATATTTACAAATAAGAAGACACTTGTATAAATCTGGATTTAAAAGGAAAATAATTGACTTTACAAGTTTTACTCAATTGTCAAATACTAATTACCAGTCAATTAGAAATAAGGGCTTGGTAGTACTTTGTGTGACCACATCACTCAGGGTCATTTGCTTCTTAAGAGATAACAGGTGGGCAATCACAAATTCTTGGGATCCAAGCTCTTCGAGATTAGTCACTTCTCGCCTACCAATCCCCAGTGAGTGGAAGACAGTCCAGGAGTCATTTGGTTCCTTTTGAACAGTCCCGTGACCTAATGCCCTGCCAGCCTACAGGTCCCATCAAGGAGTCCAGTGCTTTCTCCTGCCCAGAACCTTCTTCTGGCCCGGCCCATCTCATCACAGGTTTTCCTGCTCCTGGTGCCTCTGCCATCCAACTTTGCATGTGGCTCTTATTCCTGGCCTTGCCTTACACGAAAGTATTTTGCACAGGGTCTGTGATGGCTCTTTACTAGAGATTATTAGTTTTCCCGTTCACCTTACCTTCTTGATTTAAACTAACTCTGTCCTCTCCCCCCTCCCTCCTGTCCCTCTGCCGTCATGTTTTCAGCAGTGTGCCTACCAGCCCATCACCCAACACAAGAATAAGGTGCTTTCTACAGCGCTAGAACAAGAAAAGACAGCATAAACACGTGTGAGAAAATATCCTGGAAGGGTCCTTGGTACCTTTACTTCAAATTCACATTTCTCATTTCTCACCAATGCTCATCTTCATCTACTTTTCTGTTGCTGTAACAGCATCTGAGACTGCAATTTATTTTAAAGAAGAAGAAGAGGAGGAGGAGGAGGAGGAGGAAGAGGAAGAGGAGGAAGAAGAGGAAGGAGAAGAAGGAGGAGGAGGAGGAGAAGAAAAGATGCTTATTTGGCTCACAGTTCTGGAAGCAGAGAAGTCTAAGACTAGATGGCCACATGCAGCACAGTCCTTGTGGCACTTCGGCTCACAGTGACAAAGGAAGAGGGCAAACAATGACATTCATAAAGCACAGGGGAGGAACAGACTCACATTTTTAACAACCCATTATTCATAAATCCCACTAGAGCAGCATGAGTCACTCATAACCTGACACCTTCCCTTGGGCCCTACTTCCCAGCCCCACCACACTGGGAATCCAGGTTCCAACACATGAGCGTTGGGAAGCCACTTTCAAACAACAGAAAGGCTTTGTCATAGCATGGTACTCATTCAGAAGGAAGAAGAAAGGTAAGAAAGAAGCAAGGGAAGGAAGTTGGGGAAGGGACTAAAGACAGGAAGGGAAGTCAATGAAGAAGCATAAAGACTACCCGTAAATAGTTCCGTTGGCTGGAGACCTTGCAAACCCATCCGGTGATGATGTAGAGCATACACACAGGCTGGCCCACCATTCCTGGGTTAAGTTACCAAGATGGCCTGGATAATCACATTACTGGAGCACAGAGCACAGTGGAGTTTCTGGGCTGCAGGATATAATAAAAGAGGTGAGCTTCCTAGACAAGATTGTGAAGAA